GCAGGAATGGAGAAGAAGAAGAAAGATGTTTGGAGCTCCTTGACCCTTTCCCTGTTGATCTTGACCCAAACTGGTCCTATTTTTTTTTTCCTTCATGCTTGGAATTTCCTCTCTTTCCTTCACCCTCCTCACTGCCTTCCCCATAGGTGAGGGGTAATAGGCAGCCCCATAGCAGGAGGTTTCTCCAGGCCTCGCTGGAGCTCCAGAGAAGAAAGAAATATCTTTCCTGGCAAGAAAATGTTGGCAGCATTAGTTATTGCCAATGCCAAGTGTTAAGAAAAAGACAAACAATGAGACAGATTTCAACAAACTAGAGATTAAAAATGTGTCTCTGGATTGTGTTAATGGCCTCCTGATACTTTGGCTTGCAGCGTAAGGAAGGGTTGTATATGTGTGGGCAGGGAAGGATGTTACCTTAACAACTTTCTTTATCTATCACAAGACTTGAAGGTGTCATTTTGAAAAATTAAAGCTGACATTCTTGTTCGGTCCTGTGTCTTCAGGCCTAGAGTAAAAGATCAAAATTTTATTTAACCATTTGAAAAAAATGGTAAATGGGCAACACCATGCAACTTGTTCTGGCCTTCTGCTCTTAAAGACATCTGAGTTTCTGATGAAAACATCATTCAATAGTCCTCTACCACAGCTAAGAACTGGGAGAAATAAGTAGTCTTGCAGTGGTACATTTTGTTCATTTCTGTCATTCTGTGGCTGTGCAGAGCCTGATTTCCTTTGCCCAGATACTGGAAATCACAAGCCATCCCCATAGGACTATTATGCTCTAATTCCTGATTAGGACTTGCCCCAGATTTTCCTTCAAAAGCATTCTCTAGTGAAAAAGAAAAAAAATATATATTTTTAAATTTTATCAATTTTATTTTTATTTTTTTATTTTTTGCCAATGAAACGTTTGCTTCCTAAAATTGATGTTTGGTTTGTTGGGAAAACAACTGAAATGAATTGAAACTTTGACTGTAAGACCTTATGAGAGCTATGGTTCAGCGAGCTTAGGGGCTGTTCTTCTCTCTCAGGTTGGTTCCTCACCTGCAGCACTGTATCCCAGGGAACCCAGCTCCTCAGAATGAAAACACAAAAATAGCACAGCTTGTTATGGGATCCTGGTGTGTGGAAAGGATGAGGAGCTAAGACAGAGGGTAAACAGCTCTCAGCAGGCACTTCAGAGGCATTTCTAAAACACAATTTTTTATTATTATTTTTTTAATTATTTTTAGCATGACCTAGAGGTTTCCACTCTCTCTCTCTCTTTCTGTCAAGAAAATTAAAATTTCCTTGCAAAACAAGGGAAGCACAAGGAGCACAGTTTTTCTGCTCAGCTGGTACAAACTATTTTTGCACCTGTGCCATTTGGCTCTCTCTGCAGATATTATTTATCTGTATTGCCATAGTGCCTAGGAACCCTGACAGAGACCAGAAACTCATAGAAACCAGAACAACATTTCTTTTCTGAAGCCGAAGTAACAGATTTTAAACTGACAAATAGCAAATCCTTACATTTGTTTGACAAATCCCTTAGTACCTTTCAGACCAGGATGAGAATTTAAAATATAGATGAATTTAAACAAGGATGTGTTGAAGTTCCTTATCTATCAGATAATAAATCTGCAAAGATGTCAATACATATGCAACATATACACCAGATACAATAAGAAGCAGAGACTTTTTAGCAATTCAAAACAAGAACAAGCTCCTACTGCTTTATAGAAATATGTAATGGGAAAGTATTTTTTTTTCCTTTTCCATTTTTCCTTTTATAGTTTTGTATTAATCTTGGCATTATCAAAAATGCAGAAGTTCGAACTGCCACCTCGCTTTTGTTTGGAGCATTTGGTGTGGATTCCCTGATGTCTAATGGGGAGACAACCTCAACCCTGTATGTTTCCATAGTTTTGTTTCTCTAACTAGCTTTTTATTTTCTTGACTCCTGTAGGAAAAACAAAACAAAACAAAACAAAACAAAACAAAACAAAACAAAACAAAACACACATATATTTGAAATCACTACTCCTCTAACAATGTATGTGAAAATTATCAAGGGCTCTTAGTGGTTGTTGGGTGATACATGCACACAGTATGACCATGCAAAAAGACATTTGCAGCAGTGTAGCAAACAGGTTGTTCTCCCTTGAAAGTCTTTCCGAATTCTGCAGAGCCCAGGAACCTGAAAACCTTACCTGTCAGTTTCCTCATATCAAATTAATTAGGAAAACTATTTGAAAGATAAGTTCTTATTTTTTGCCTTCATGTTAGCATTTCAAAATCTTCCCTAGAATCAGCTCTGGTGTTTTAAAGCAAATGCCATGTGGGAGGAGAGACATAGTGCTGAGCAAGAGCAGGAACAGCATGGGACGGCCGTCTGCCAGGTTCTGCCTCGTCATCCTGAAATCCAGTTCTGCGGGAGCTGTGAGTCACTTTCATGGATATAAAAGTAGAAAGTTTATACAAACCCAAGGGGAGCTACGGGCTTTTATTGCTGGTTCCCTGCTGGCTGCTAGCTCTAGCTTTTCTAGCCTGGTTCTCCTTCTTATCCCTGCATTTTCTCAGTCCTCAATAGCTCAGTCATTTTCTTCTTTATCTCCACAGCCTTGCTAGTTTTGTCACTTGGGTGCTGCAAGCAAAACAAGCACACTGACCTTCGGAGGAGAAAAAGGAGGGCAGGTAGATCATATCACGCATCTGCCAAGTTCATACCTGAACAGTGACTGACCTGCCAAATAGAGCTGGGGTGTCTGGGGCTGACTGTCCCAGACAGTCTCTGCTGCCCCCGAGGAGAAGCTGTTATCTCTCTGACAGGGTTTGGGAGAGAGCTGAGGAGGAGCAGGAGGGGAGTCTTCAAGCAGAAGAGAAAACAAGATGGGAGATTGCCTTGTCTCTGGGATTAATGGTCTTCACTGGCAAATGTTAAGTCAAGTTCAGACAGGAATCCTCTCTCTTGTTCAAGCACTAACAGACAGAAAGATAGACAGAGAGAAAGAAAAGAAGGAGATAACTAATCTGGAATGGTTGTCTCTGGTCCTTATGTAATGAAAAGTCAATAGGTCCTGGGCCACATGCAGATGGATCAGGCACTAGCGTGGGCAGTGTTGGTCGAACACTCCTAAGAGATCAACAGACCCCAAATCTCTTACCTGGTCAGAGCAAAAGACCTGACTATCCCAAAACTTAGCTCTGGATTTTCAAGATAAACTTACATGTATATAGTAGAGAAGATACTGGTTTATAGCTTGTTTGACTTCAGAAACATAAGTGTTTGGCCTTCACTCATTGCCCTTTAAGATAATAGTGTGAAGATTTTATCTGCTCTTGGTAGCTATTACAAGTAAATAAATGAAAAGGTCACACAGACTGTGATTCAGGGTATAACTTTGATCATTGTGAAGAGTTTTGCTGTGTCATGGAAGTGAATGAGAATACTGCTCTTGGCCTTTTCTCTTTAAATTCATAAAGAAGTGTATGTAGATTTTCCTCTTCATCTGCAGAAGTGATTTAAATTAGCACAGTGGGGGAAAAAAGCATCCTATGTAATGACAGTTTTACTGAACTACTGGGTCATATGATTCGCTTTATGCATTTAGTGGGTTTTCTTTCAGGTTGCAAAACATGGTGATAAAGACCTTTTATTTCTTATAGTTCTGTGATATATCTTGTCCTTCTGCCTGCTTCTTCCACAAAGTTATACTGTTCTACCTGCATAACACTCATCTGCAGCACCTCAGCTAGTTATATCACAACGCTTTAGGACTTCTGATGAGGGTTAAATGGCAGGGTTAGGGATGTCTGCTTAGATGTTTCTGCTGCTCATTTTTACACCTTCACTAACAAATTAGAGAGAAGGCACACAAAGGTCAACACACAGTCCAGAAAAAAGCCACCAGTGAACAATGCATTTAAAGCTTTCAAATGGTCCATAGGACTGATTCGTAGTCAGCAATTTCATTAAGAAATGGTAGGTGGTTGCATATTAAACTAAGTGGAGGTCATAAAAATTTCTGCCATACCATGGCTGTTCATTAGCCCTTGTGAAATAAACACAGTTTGATCCACCCACAATATTGTTTCTGACTCCATGTTATCTACCTGGGGAAAGTATCTAAGGAATAAAGCTTTTGTACTACAGGCACAAACTGCCAAAACTAGAGCAGATTTGGAGAACAGTGTTAACAAAATGACTCATAAACATGGTCAGTCTGTGTATGCTGTTATTCAGAAAATAATTTCCTTTTTGGGAGGAGGAAACTATAACAACATATGACCAAAAGTCCAATGCATGGTAACCTGTCTCTAAAATTGGCTGAAAACATGTAAGTAGATATAAGAGCAAGAATCCTTCTTCCCCACAGTAGTCTCTCAGTTTCCAAAAATCACTATCACACTGATCTAAAAAAAGAAAGGTATGGTAAGTCTAAGTGAGAAATTCTGAAAAAAAAAAAAATATTAAAAGGTCACGGTTAGCTAAGTTTAGATGTGCTGTGCTATAAGAGTAGCAGAAAGAATGGCAAATTATCAGGAAATACTGCATCGATCTGCAACTCTATACTTCTGACTACAAATCATTAGAAACAAACAAAAGAAAAATAAAAACAAACAAAAAAGCTCACACTCACACACACACACACACACACAAACAAACACTGAAAACTAAAAATAAATAAATAAATAAATAAAATAAAGAAAGTAGAAGAGTCTGTTTGAGGAAGCCTGCTTGGAATTAGGCTTTTGTAACATTTCCATAGGTGCATCTCCCCTACAGGTCCCCCATAACTCACTTCAACAACCAGAAGGTGATGCCCAAGTGCCTGCTGGACAGTGAACTTTGAGCATCATCCCCTTGTGCTTGCAGGGAAGCTAGTTTCAAGCCACCAAGTACATCTCCAGGAAAAAAGAAAAAAATAAAAAAAATCTTTATTTTTATTAATGTAATCACTGTCCTGTGGCCTCCTTTCTGAAGCTTGCTGCTGAGTCTTTCAAGAGCCTGTAAACATCCGTATGTCTCTCATCTTGACTGAGAGAGCTTCCTGAAGTTTTCCTAGCTTGCTCTTCTGCGGTTCACAGCTCTGACGTGAACCATCTTTCAGTGGAAAAGCCAGTCACTTCAGTCTGATCAGCAAGCCAACATTTTGAGGATCATTAGGCAGCCCAGCACAGGAGGATTGTTTTGAGGAACACAGGGACAAATGGAGGGCACGGTGATGGGCACTTCTATTCTGGCATACCCTAAATCCTGAATGCTTGAATAATTTACTCTTACTGCATAGATCCTTGGTGAGAGGACAAAACAAGATCTAATAATGTTTCTTTTATGCAAGTCTCAACAAAATCATAGCTCTTGCTTGCCAAATAACGAGGCTGCTGTTCTTCCTTCTTTTTTGAAGGCTTTGTATGAATTTTTGCAGTCTTGGGTTATTGCCCTGGGGAACAGACTATAATTTGAGTGACTGAACATACTGTCTTTGTTTTGACTTTGAACAGGGTCAGTTCTAAATAAATTATGAATAACAAGAAAAATGCAGCAAACAAACACGGAAGCCTCCATGTGACCAGCCCAGACAAGAGCAGGCCTTTTGTATCAAAGAAATTTTTGCAGCGGAAAGTGGATCTGTTCATATTTGCAAACAGCAGTTAAAAATCCTGGTGATGACTGCAAGCTGCACGTTCTTATCATGCTGATGGCTTGTGTGCTTCCTTAACCTTTCCATGAAGGGCTTTCTCAGAAAGGAGCCCCAGTGTGTAGTAAGAAGGTCATACAAGTTCAGATGAAGAAGACACTGGAAGGCTTCAGCATGGGTGGGCCATCAGAACGACCTAAGCAGAAGAGCAGAAGGTCTGTGAAGGGTAATGGGACATTCAGGTCACCACAGATGAATTCCCCCATTGGAGGGGTGGGCAGAAAGTGGAGAGATAGGGCTAAGGACAAACGTCCTCTGAATGACAATTGGCAGTAAGGTCTCTGGCAATTGTGTGGGCACTGGGCCGCCCACTCAGGGAGACAGACTCACTTTTCCCAGCTGGGACAGCTGGATAATTTGTGGCTTGCCATCATTCCACAGACGTTGGTTGGTCCTAATTCCCCCCTCATTAATCAGCTGGAGAAGAGCTGTGCAGAGAGGAGTGCTTCTCTTGGTTTCTGCAACACACATTTTCTGCCACTACAGCATGGGTGCCCACAAAACAGGATATGCAGGCTGTGCATTTCCTCCAAGAAGGGATGGAGATAAAGATGTAACTGCATATATGCTGTGGTCACTTTGAGGGGGAGTTTCCCAACTTCCCTCCTCCAGTTTCATACCAAGCTCAGAAGCTTGCAGGACTGAGCATCCCCAGCAAACTCATGGCTGCAGATGCTTCTGGAACTGATTGGCTATTACGAACAAATGTCTAGGGAATTATAAGAAAACAAACCAAAATCTAGTATAATAATAAATATTTATTTATTAACTTTGGTCAGGGATGAAAAATTTCTAGTTAGTAAGAGCTTTATCCCTGTTTTATGCTTCAGAACTCGTTTAATTAGAGTTCAATCTTTTTCTGATTTAAACTGAATTCTCTGCTGTAAATCCTAACATGTAAGCAATGTGCTGATATGTGAGAATGAACGAGTGGGCTGGAAATATAAATACTTCAAGGAGTAAAAGAAAAATAGTAAAATTATAAGGTAAAAAATACGTAAATGGCAAAGAGTAAGCGATACTCTGTTTTACATAAAAAAGGTAAGAAAAGGACATCAATTATATTTTTTAATGTAATTATATCTTTTTGATAACTATAAAAGAGTTTGTGACTGCCTGAGGATACTGTGGGAAAACATCTACATTTTAGCAGTGTTATCTTCTCCGTCTGTTCCTATGACTTCTGTGTACTGCTGTTGTGACAACAGATCAGTTACAGCTATTCTAGTTTCCAGCTGATTTGGGATTAATGGGTCATTTTAAGGCCTTCTCTAAATCAGCTGCATGCTCCACATAAATTATATGTGAGTCAGGGTGTTTTGTTTTCTAAAGTAAAGACAATGTTTTCTAAACCAATGTATTGCTATAGACGTTCAGCCTCATTTTGCCTTATTTGTTCTTTTTCCAATGGAAAGCAGAGAAAAATGTAGTGCAGGATACTGTACAAACGTTCTCTGTTTAGCCGTGTGGTGTTAATATTTTATTCCAGTTCTTTTCAGTGTATAAACTTGGAGCTCAGTGAGGTAAATGGGAAAGCTGGAATTCACAAACATAGCTGCAAATCCCATCAGCAGTTAAAGACAACAGGTCTGAAACACTCCCCAGTGTGTATGAAATCCACAGCACAAACACAAAGTAGTTGCTCTGGGTTAAATAACATTTACAACTTAGATGTAAGAATACTTACAGAAATTATTCCATTTAAGCAAGTTCATCTTTTCCAGAAAGACCCTACTGAGTCACTTGAAACTTTATGTCTGACAGAGAGAGAAACCAGCCAAGAGTGGCTCCAAACAGCCAAGATGTCTTGGTCAAGTGCAAGAGCTGGGTTGTGACAACAGAAGGGGATGTTACGTGGCAACTGAGGAAAAGCAGGAACATGTTTAGCTTCCAGCAGCACTAAAATAAACAGGTAAGAGTGCTTGCCTGGATGGCGATGTGTGTCTGTTTCACACCACAAAGTACTATCTGGGATATCTAAACACATTCCTGGCACATGTTCTTCCAGCCATCCTTCCTCTCCCACATCCATGCCTGGGGCTAAGTACAAGCAACCTTATTCCAGCCACTGTAGCACAGCCACAAGTGGGAAGAAACCCAGTCAATTTTTAAAATTATCTATCAGTCCCAGAGACTCAGCAGTGGAAACTGCAGTGGCATTTAATGGGCTTCACTACATGGATGTGACCTGCACTGTCTTGGTAGGAGCAAGTTCTCTATTCTATCCTGATGTGTTGAGACAACTTCTTGTGATAACTCAAATCTCATCTGCTTCACAACAAAGGTCATAGTTCCATATTTTTTTGGGAAATAAAAAGGAACAGGAACAGGAATAGGAACAGGAATAGGAATAGGAAAAGGAACAGGAATAGAACAGGAAAAGGAATAGGAATAGAGAAAAAGAAACAGAAAAAGAAAGGAAAGGAAAAGAAAGGAAAAGGAAAGGAAAGAAAAGAAAAAGAAAAAGAAAAAGAAAAAGAAAAAGAAAAAGAAAAAGAAAAAGAAAAAGAAAAAGAAAAAGAAAAAGAAAAAGAAAAAGATTTGGCCTTACTCAGAGACACCTAATGATGGCAAACGCAGCATCTTCTTTTGTAGCTTGTTCCAGCAACTAAGTCCCACAGCTGAAAATGTCTGTCACTGTTTCTGATTTGAATGCACTTGGATTTAGCTTCCAAATATATATATATATGTATATTTTCTCACACAGGAAATTACACAGAAATTGCACACAGAAATTGAACCTCCCTTCAGTCTGTTTTTAAGAACTACCAGATTATTCCAGTTTGTGATTACAAGGCATTTTTTCCAGCCTTCAATTCGTCTTGGTAGTTCTTCACTGCAGGCTCCATAGCCTTTCAAATCCTTCTGAAAATCAGGACACCAGAATTACTCGCTGTTATCTATGTTGACAACAGAGCTAAATTTAATTCACTGCTCCTCTGATTATACGCCCAGGATCTAGGCTGCTGGCACGGTCCCAGGTGACTGTGCTGCTCCTTGTCCAGTGTCACCTCTCGAGCTGCTGTAGGGAGTTGATATTCCTGAGGATACCATTACCTACCCAGTGGGAATGGCCCAGTTTTTGTCTAGCTGTGGTTCTTTGATGCATGATTCTCATTTGGCTGTAGCATCACAGCACGTTTTGGCTGTGATGCCATACCTGTCAGAGGGCGTGTCCTCCTATTTCTTCTTCCGTCAAGCTTCTTTATCATGCAAACTGGTAATCTTGCCAAAAAGAAAAAAAAAAAAGAAATCAAACTTTTTTATGAACAGATTGATTTTTCATAAAGCCATGTGGATCAACATTAAACTCTCTGCCTTTGCTCCTTCTTTTGTTTTCCAGGCCTTTTGTTATTTTCTGTTTGCTGATGTCTGATGTCAGGCTCAACAGCCGAACTTAGTCTGCTGCTGACACAGAATCAGCGTGTTCCCACACTTCTGGGATGTGCATGGTGCTCCAAGATCTCTACACAATTATCGTCAAAAAAAGGCCATTCTGCTTTTTCACTAACACCAATACAAATTCTTTTTTTTTTTTCTTTTTTTTTAATTACCATCTTGAATAGATTGTCATCTCCCTCTAACAGTTGGCTGGTATCACGGCAAGTATTTTGCTCCTGGTAGAACTACAATTCCTCCAGCAGTCTGTAAGCCTGATGAGAGACAGGCTGTACTGCTTCTGAGCACAGAGCCAGCCAGCACAGCACCCTGCAGTGACCAAAATCAATTGCTGAGGAAAGCTGATAAGGTCAGGTGAATCGCCCCATGTGCTCTGCAGGCAGCCTGCCAGTAGGCTTGTATTTTCTTCTGTTTTGCTACACAGCATATTTTCTAATTTGTATTACTTGTCTTTGCATTCCCTACATTCATGTTTATGTATGTGTACATATATGTACACATTTTTTGTATGTAAACTTTTTTTGTTTGTGTATATGTACATACATGTATACACTCTCACAAGCTCCTCCCTTCACTATTAACAAGCACATAGTTTAGCCAAATCTCTCTTGATTGCAGAAGAGTTGCTTTTTAGCCATGGCTAAGAAAATTTTTGGATACGCCACTTCAGTACCTCTTGATGTTTCTTCCCTGTACTGACCTAGCTAAGGGAATCCAAATCCCACTGTAACACAGCTGATTAGCTGTCTTCCATTGCTGGCTTGCTCAGAGGGCACTTTCACACAATCTCCTTTTTTCCTCCCTGTTGATTCACTATTGGTCAATGCTCACCTGAACATGAGCCAGCAGTGTGCCAAGGTGGCCAAGAGTGCCAACAGGCATCCTGGCTTGTATCAGTAATAGTGCAGCCAGCAGGACCAGGGAGGTGATCATCCCCCTGTACTCTGCTCAGAGACATTTCTGCTCAGAAAGAGCAGTCAGGCACTGGGACGGGTTGCCCAGGGAGGTGGTGGAGTCACCGTCCCTGGGGGTGTTCAAGGAGAGGTTGGACCTGGTGCTTGGGGACATGGGTTAGTGGGTGACACTGGTGGTAGGGGGATGGTTGGACCAGATGATCTTGGAGGGCTTTCCAACCTGAATGGTTCTATGATTCTATAGTACTGCTCAAGTCCTTAGAGCAATTTTTCAACAACATTGTGGGATATATTTAGAAGGTACATCCATTAATGTCTTGACTGTATAGAAGCCTCTGCAAAAGGAAAAAGATGTCTAGCAGATAACAGGAATACTGTTTACTGTATGCACTGCCATAATCTAATTAAAAGCATCAATTACTATATATTCGTAGGCCAAACATGCATGATGTAGAGAGCAAGAGAGAGTACCTTAGATGGGTTTGTCATTTGGTGAGTGCACTGTACAAGAGCATGTGTCATTCATTTAATTTAATGTATGATAACAACTCCTTAACATGATTAGCACTTCTCTAATTATGATTGACGTGAGAAATAGTTCATCAGTCTCTCCACATACGCAGCTTCCATTGATTGTTAAAATGGAAAAGCAAACACATTTGACAGTCAGCAGCCCAGCTTTTTGGAAAGTTCCAAAATCTCTTCCAGCAACATCCCAGTAAATCTTCAGTTGCGTCTGAAATGAGTGGCTTTACTCCTATTCTTCTTCTTTTTTTTTTTTTCCTTTTTTTTTTTTTTTTATTTTACAGCGGGTGGCATTTGGCTCTTGTGTTGACATGGTCTCCAACAGGTGGCTTTAGCTGTACAGTTACCAAGCGACAGTGGTGACAGCAATAATCTGCTCCTGTACATTGAAATATATGAGGTATGACAGAGTTAAAGGACACCATAAAGTACAAGAGAAAGATATACAGATAAGCTCTGGTCAGTTCTCTCTCTGCCTCTCTCTCTCTTTTTTTTTTTTTTTTTTTTTTTTCTGATGAGCTTATCAGATCTCTTCTCATAAAAAGTCCTATTTTTCCCATTCTCTGACTCCAGCCTTTGCCTAAGGGCATTCAGAAGGCAAACACTGTGCATATTTTTTCTAAAACTTCCAGGAGCTGCAAGACAAGGGATTTATATAGAATGCCTTTTCTCTTAAAAAGTAACCCTTTGGTGCTCTTCAAAATTTGCAACTTTTTTTTTTGTTATTTTTTTTTGGTGTATATGGAGTACCAAATGCAGCTGTATGACAGTATCATCATATAGGACCTTGATTTTTTTTTTTTTTTTTTTTTTTTGTGTGTGTTAAATCAGTCCTTTGTAGGAGAAGGAGTGGACTGTCACTTGTGTTGGGTTGCTGACAGCCTGGGGAGTGTGTCACAGATATTGGCTTGACTCTCTAGACAATTAAGTGAGCTGCAGAGCCCCCAGCCTGGCTCCAGGTTGGGGCCACTTCTTCCCTGTCAGAAGGCTTCAAAATGAAATCTTCATACTCAGCCAGCAGAGAGGGCTGGAAACTGGTACCTGTGGTCTGAGACTTCAGAATTGTTTTGAGGAAAGGGGAGGAAGTAAGGTGAGGGACAGGATGAAAAACCCAAATGTGAACCTGCCTCTTTGTAGGCTTGGAAATTCTTTTTTCTTCCTTCCTTCCTTCCTTCCTTCCTTCCTTCCTTCCTTCCTTCCTTCCTTCCTTCCTTCCTTCCTTCCTTCCTTCCTTCCTTCCTTCCTTCCTTCCTTCCTTCCTTCCTTCCTTCCTTCCTTCCTTCCTTCCTTCCTTCCTTCCTTCCTTCCTTCCTTCCTTCCTTCCTTCCTTCCTTCCTTTCTTTCTTTTTCTTTCTTCCTTTCTTCCTTTCTTCCTTTCTAGGCTTGCAAACCCAAAGATTAGCTTCTGTAACCACAGTGATAATTATATAACAGAGCATTTATAAGTGTGTGCTTATACTCTTATGGGCATTGCTTTAGCAGTATAAAAAGCCTTTAGACCATCCCTAGATGGTAGTGTTTGTTCAGACCAAAACCCTTCTCTAATACCATGATTTCTCTGTGATATCTAGACCCAGATACCTGGCTGAATGCAGAAGTTATTGGTGAACAAGGTGGAACAGGGGACTACAGAGTATGAAAGGAGAAGCAGATCTGCCCTCTTGTGTAAAAGGCATCTACTGCATCTTTTTTTTCTTGAATCTGAAATTAATTTACTCCTTGTAAAAATACATGAGGAGAATATGGGAATGTTTTGAGCAATTTAACTTTACCATGAAGTGAAAATGAGAAAAGACAGGATGAAGGCTGACATTCACACTTTAAAGGTGATTTATATCTATGAATTAGTTTGTAAACCTAAGGGTTTATAAATAAACTAATGTGAGTAGTTTGGACGTGAGAAACTACTCTAAATACTTGGGCTATCAGACTTGAAACTGTGAAAATATGAGAAAAACAAAAACTCTAAGAGGGATAAACCTAATTACCAGGGAAACTCAACCAGCTGCAAATTATTATCCATTTAAAGTAAGCTGCTTTTTTTTTTTTTATGGGTGAAAAAAATAGCTTGAGCATTTTCATTTCACTCATCACAGCAGTAAAGGCTTTTAGACAAGATTTGGGCTGAGGCAAGCATATTTTGCCAGTCTTAATTAAACCAGAAAGGGACACAGGGCAGCTGACTTCATAGGGTTGGTAAGGTTAAGCTGAGTTTCTCTGTCCTCGTCCCCACAGCTGTTTTCTTCAGAAACTTCAAGGCCAGCAGCTCTCTTAGACCCTCACCTTCCCAAATCCCATGTATTAAGCACTGTAAAAAAATACTAACCCTTGAAAGCTTATCTGAACGGCAATATCAAAAGATTAGACTCTTGGCAAAAAAAAAAAAAAAAAAAAAAGATGAAAAAAAGGAAAAAATAGAAAAGAGAAAAAGAGAAAAGAGGGGGGAAAAAGAAAGAAAAGAAAAGAAAAGAAAAGAAAAGAAAAGAAAAGAAAAGAAAAGAAAAGAAAAGAAAAGAAAAGAAAAGAAAAGAAAAGAAAAGAGAAAAAAAAAGGAAACAATAAAGAAAAAGAGGAAAAAGAAAAAAAAAAAAAAAAGAAAAAAGACAAACTACCACTGCAGAAGAACCTTTGAGAAGACCATGAATTTACGGCTTAATAGGGCAATTTGGTGTGAAATCTGGATGCAGTTTTTAAACGTAGGCCACAGCAAAAAGTTTATTTACATTTTGTCTCTTCTCATCCAGTAATGCACTTGGTCTGATGACATCACTTCTTCTCTACTTTCAATGAAATAACAATTACAGCTTGGGCCTGAGGATATAATACTATGCAACAAAATGAATAAACTCTGCAACAGATAAGAATTCCATCATCCATAGAAACGATAAATGCTGTTTAGGTATTTTTTCATACAATTTTCACACTTCTCTTTCTCCAGAGTCCGTTGTAAGTGGCCCAGAGAAATAAGCCATAGAGTGGTCTCACAAGAGCTAGACTACTTTCCTCTGCAGCAAAATTACACCAACAATACATGTGACCCACTAGACTGTTTCTAGTATAATTTCATTATGAACACCCCCCCTTGTTTCCCCCTTTTCCCTAGGACACGCATGAATTAAAAAAAAAAAAGTGAATGAAGTAAATTTTCTGCCAATTAAATGAAAACAATTACTACAATTACTATTCTGGTTTCTTCTTCTCTGCTGATGGTCAACTGACTCTTTACCCATGTTAATTTGATTATTGCAGACTTGGGAGTCTGTGGATTTTTTATTTTTATTTTTATTTTTTTCCTTTTCTTATTAAACTACATATTTAGTCCCTGTCTAACATTTGAGACTGCAGTTTGAAACGCCAGTGATCTTGAAGCTCTGTTTCGTCTTTGCTGGGGCCATTCTCTCTGTGCTGTGTGACCAGCATAGGGACAGTTAAACAGGCTACAAAGGGATATGTCTGGGCAGACTGTGAGAAAGGCAGATCAAATGTTTACATAGAATCGTAGAATCAAAGAACAGCTCTGTTTGGAAGGGACCTTAAAGATCATCTACTTCCAACCCCCTGCCATGGGTAGGGATGCCACCCACTAGACCAGGTTGCCCAAAGCCTGGTCGTGAACTCCTCCAGGGATGGGGCATCCACAGCTTCTCTGGGAAGCCTGTGTCAGGCCCTCCTGGTCCTTCTGCCACCAGTCCTCAGTAGCAGCACAGCCCCAGGACTCTTAGAGAAGCCAAGACATCCTCGAGAGGTCTTTGGGCCATCACAGCACTGCCCCTGTTGCTTGCTATTTCTGCAGAGGTGTCTGTCTCCCTTGCAGTCATTTCACCGTGGATGCTTTTAGTGTAACTTTGAACTTGTATATTTTAAAAATGGGAGGAATTTGCAATAGAGTCAGCACATGGCAATATCTGGATGACTAATAGCCAGCAGAGGTTAATGTCCCTTAGCTTCCTCACAGGCCATCAACCCCTAGAGCTGTTCATTAATTGCCTGAAATAGCCTATGCCATGGTCATTACTGCTTAATTATTCAGATAAAATGAATAATATCAAGTCTAAGACTTCAGTTTTCAGAAATTGAGAACTCTGTCTCTTTTCTTTCCCAGGCAGGTTGCAGGCACATTCTACATTCAGTCCAGCATTTTTTTTTCTCCCTGCTTTAATAAATGATGCTTCATGCCTGTTGAGCTTTCATAAAGGTAAGGACATTTCTTACCTATTGGATAGCCTATAGAACAGACAAATAACCAGCTTATATTCAGTTATTGTTGCATGACTGAACAAATAACCACGGAAATCAATCACGGCAAGTAATAAATGAACAAACCGGAACTTATAGGAAGAGCTAAACTCAAACTACAGAGCAGATGCAGAGTATGACATGGCCCTACTTTCTGGTCCCCAGCTACCTGAGAGGCACTTTGAGACCACACTCCTGAGTTTCCTTTCCTGGAGGCCAGAAAGCTGGGGGAAGCTGTGTTTCATTAAGGTACCTAACTCGCACCACCCAAGCCCTCACTACCCAATGCTCCTTGACATGTCCTTCTACGGGATGGTGGTGACCTCCATCAGATCCCTGCTATAGATATGGCACCTGATATCCCAGGTGTACTTCTTTCCTTCACAGGAGAAAGGTCTACATGGAGTCTTTGTGCATCTGAAGCAAAATGTATGTGTACTTTTTGTTAGCTCCAAGGAAGGGTATCTGACCTCAAAACTGCCGAAGCAGTAAGTGCCAAATTCATCCTAACCCAACTGATGCTCTGTGCAAGAAATGGTGCACCAGATCCTCCCTACGTGGATGCCTACACAATAGTGGCCCAGAATTCCCTCCTGGACATGTTTTGTCTGGTGAAACTCTGTGGCCAGCAAAGTGGAAAAGATCATACTTGTCAGTCATAGCAGTTTCTTCTGCTTCGAAGATCAGTGAATTCGTTAGTTTGTAGAGTCCAGAGAAAAGAGGCACCAGCAGCCAGTCCAAGCATGATGGTTCATTATTAAAGGTTCAGAGAGGTTTGGATCCAAGGTTTTGATACACTTCATCAAAGATCACTTTCCAGCTATTAATTTTCATATCCCAGCTGCATGCTTAGGTTTCTGAAGCTTCTTCTGACCATGGTATAGTTCAGAGTATGGAAATTATTTGCAAGCCAATTGTCCATTGCAAGGTGTGTTTATTACTTTCTTTACATTCACTCAAAAACAAAAGCATATGACAGGTCTGTGTGCCTTACATCTGACAGCTCTTTTGCCAAGGCAGATGAGCAGACCAAGATTTTAGTTTAGGAAAGTGTGTGGGGAAAACTTCCCATCTGATTAAAACAATGGTCATCATCTCCTCAGCTGCTTCTTTTATGAACAACATTTTGAGAACGTGTCTCTCTTCCTGTTTATGTTCACATATAAGGCACGGGTTGATGAGTGGTGTGTTTCAGGGTCTGTGTTCAAAGCATGCTGATGTTGGGTCTTTGGGAGAAATCAGCCTCGTGTACATAACGCCCTATAAATCAGCCAAAGAGTCCAGCATGCATGTAGTGACCTGTAGGATTTCATGATCTGCTTCTCAATATAGCATTTTCTTCAGATTCTGCTGGACAGAGTTGGATATTAGCCTCTCACATTTCAATACACAGATAAATGCCATGTGAGGTTGTCAAGAAAGGATAAGAACAAGAAAACAAAAATGTTAGAGAATGGATGCAACATAGATATGTTTGCATTGGTAAATTAAACAGCAACAGGATATGAGCCTGAGCACTGTTCTTCTAGGTGACCATGCAGCTTGTCAGTAGCATTTTCTCCTAAAGTGTTTTGGTCAAGACAGCCAGCAATCCCCTACACCATGGCTGGGAACAATTCAGAGGTTAGGATGTGCAGGGACAATGCCAGCAGGAGTCTGGACATGGCCATGCTGGGGAGCTTTGAGAGGAGGAAGGAGAGGTCATGGTGTCTAGCTGGCTGGATATGAGAATACATTACCACTTTGTTTCCAAGCTGGAATCAGTCCCTTTTCCATTTTGCACTAAGTGTAAACATGGATTATGGGCCTAAAAATTGTGAGATTTGTAATCCTAGTCCTTTGAGAGATTTGTTGCATGACATCCAGTTCATTACTGGGTTTGTACTAATTGAGATCCCTGTTTGCAGACAATTGTCTTTTATTAGATCTGTGCTCCGGGACAACCATGCATGTGTACATACATTGAAAATTGTAAGAAAAACTGCACAAAATGTTAGCTAGCTCTTTGGGTTTTGAAGATTTTGAAGATGGGAAGATGTAATGAAGATTAAGTCAAATCTGAAAGCTGTACATGTAACATTTGATTTACTGGGTAGTGAAAGTAACATTTTCCCGTGGGCTTTGTCAGCAGCCCACAGCAACAGACAAGATTTGGACAAGGTTGTAGTGAAGGTGATTCCTGGGGTGGGCCCAAAGCTGTGAGAGAGGGAGTTAAGATCCAGTTGCTATGTTTCCCTACTGCCTCCTGGCTGCCAGAGACACCACAGCTACACAGAAGCCTTCCCATCACTCCTTGCCCTGGTTTCTTACCAGTTACTCAATAACTTCTGCATTATCACCAGGGAAGGCCAAATCTTAAAACTCCCTGTTTGCTTTTTTTTTTTTTTTCTTCTTCTTTCTTTTTTCCCTGTTATTATTTTCATTTTAGTGCCTCGTCAGTGACAGAAACAAAGTCCCTGGTTCAGAGTTCACTGAAAAAAAATGAAGAGGCAATGCAGAAAGCAGGAGGAAATGGATGAATGGAGAGGAGGATGAAGAAGAACGTCCTGCATCCCTTTGGTTGCATCCTCTGACAGCTCTCTTATATGCATATATCCACCATGCACATCTTGAGGATCCAGAGTATGTGTTATTGCTACCATATTACTGCGCTACCTGTCAGATCCATGACAGATTTGAGCTTCAGAGGGGAGATGGTAAGAATACAAAAAGCTTTTTTCATGCATTGCAGAGCTGCAAAAGGAGAGGCAGCAGAATGGGAGCAGTAAACAGAGAAAGAAAAGATGTCCGTGGCTTTATGGGGGATAGAGGGGTGGGAAGGGAAGATCAGAAGGGCATTTGCAGAGGCAGGACTACATAGGGTCTTGATAGTGGAATAGAGATGTCTGAATTTTTTTAAGCTGTGTGGGTCAGGGAGCACAGGGTGGGAACACAAAGGGGCAGACAGATGGTGTGTTCAGTCTGAAGGAAGCATGTTCCTTTTCCAGAGGTGGGTCAGCAACTAAGAAAGTATTTTTGTCCAAATGTGTTCATTCTTCTCTAATAAATATGCTACTGGGAATTCCCAATGACTGTGGGATTATGGAGGTGTGCTTCTGGCAGCTTCACTTGTATAATAATTCTTCATCCTTGTTGCACAGTTCAGGACTCACACGACTCATCTTGGTGCTGCTCCAAGGAGAGATAAGACCATAAATCTGGAGATGAGGTGGTAGCACCACAGGTTGGATCCTATCAAAGATGGCTCTGATTTGGTCATCCAAAAGGCAGCATCTGACATCCTCCAATGTGCTACTTCTCAGGATGGGACAGGGGCTGACATGCCAGGCACATATCACCCATGCTCCGATAGGTCCCGATCGGTGGCACACTGCCCTGTAACAGCCTGGTATCCCGATGTCTACCATGCCCTAGGACACCTCATTTCAGACATCTCTCCTAATGATGTGCTGTCCCTTGCATCAAGCGAAAAGAAATTTGACAGTACAGATGAAACAGAAAAAAACTTTCAGGCTTCCACTTTCTCCACTGAATTAATCATCTCTGGCAGATTTGTGGCTTCCTCTGACCCTCAAGTTTTACTGTCTGCTAGCACATCAGGCACTGATTTTCCTCTTTCTTTCCCCTACAGCAAGCATTACAATGATCCTTCTCAAAGCTGACAGGGGCAGGGCTGATTTCCAGTAAAAGGGCACCATACTTAGCTGCACAGGGTAAGCGAGGTTAGGGAAATAGGTACATGGGAATAATGACAGCACAGAGGGCAGCAGACTTGCAATATGTTTATACAGTTAAATGTAACCAGTTCAGACACTAACATTTCTATTTTTTTTCATTGCTCACAGAAAAAAAAAAATATCTCCCTACTTGCCGTGTTTTCTCTCTGTGAGCACTTTCCTATTCTCCTTAACCTCTGTGTTGCAGTGCAGCGAGGCTGTGTACACGTAGATATGCTCCCTACCCTGGGGAAGATCCAAGATAAGCAGAGAAGTGACACACAAATGGCAAGGGGGAGAGAGCGATCTAATCGACTAGCCGCAAGCTTGGTAGGGTGAGATAGGAAAAGCACACAGAGCAAAGGGAAGCAGGTTTCTGCTGGGAGAGGCGTGCTGCTCTCCCCCTTTCTCCTGCTTGCCCTTGTCTTTTCACTCTCTTCTCCCTCGTGCCCTTGTCCGTGCTTCCCAGGCTGAGACCGTGCGAGACTCGGGGGAGGTATTGCTGACGCGGGACTTGTGCAGGTTTTGGCTGGTTTGCCTGTTTTCTTGTGTCATTTGCTGCCTGCCTCTCCTCACTGCCTCCAGCCTGGCACAGCAATTTTGGCTGCTTCTTGCTGAAATTGGCTCCCCTCCTTTCTTGCTGTCTGGTGAATACCTAACACCTGCCGGTGGTCCTTGGATTTTAGCTTTTCCATATGTCCTCCATATTGCATGAAAAGGCGTAAAAAAGGGCCTTTTCCCCCCTCCTCTCCTTTCCTCACCCCTAAAGCTCTTTTCAGGTGCCAGTATCTGAACCCAGCAATACCAAATCATTTCCTGTGCTCTCACTTCACTGTGTAGCTCATCCGTGGGTGGGGTGAGAGAAGACACAGCTAGAAGTAGTTCCCCGCACTGAAACATTTTGTTTTCACACTTTGGGTTCCACCTCGGCCTGTTTTTCAAACTCCCCTTTTCTAAAACATTAAAGCTTAAGACAGAAGCTGAGTACCTTTGCTTCAGAACAAAGCAAGCATTTCACATCATAAACTGCAAACTCTTTTTCTGTCTGTTCCATCCACCTGGAAAATCATTTGGAGAGCTAGGAACAGCCTCAGGGCTTCTCATCTCTTAGCTCTACTCCAGGTTCCCGGTACAGTAAGAGATCTCAAAAGGTTTGACATGAATGCAGTGGACTTCCTTTACCATGAATATCTTGGCTTTGAAAGTGTGAGACGGCGGATAGACAAGCACTTGGCTGAGCATCTCTACTCTTCTGATCCTTGTTTCCATCCTCCTTGCTCACCACCAGTCCTGAGAAGAGCTGTCAGACCACAGCTACCCATTTCACACCTCTCTGGGACATGTAGGACCAGGGCACTGGAGCTGTGTATTCATCCCTGGCTCTCACCCAGGTCGTCTGTGCACACTTGGATGAGTCCACAGATCCTCCAGCACTCCACGCCACACTTAGCAGAGCTGATTTCTTTTCTCTCCAGGACTTCTCCTATGTAACTACTGTAAATCCTTCAGTCCAGATTCATGGACTTACCTTTACACATGGGAATCAAATGGCTGATAAATGGCTCATCCCAGTCATTGTCTCCATTTGCGGTCATTAGGAGGCCTGGAGATTAGCCTACCAGGGGATTGATAGATATGGGGTGAGATGTACTGGTCTGGGCATGAGTCTGAGCTGCTGTGCCCCTTCTCCAAGCCCATGGCAGCTGGTGTAAAGGTGTAGAAGCCGGGGCATGTATGGTACAACAAGCCAAAAAAATAAAAACAAAAATACATATAAATTAGCCACAGTGACTTCAGATTTGGACTCCCTTCAAGCAAATGTGTGAAATGCGGTGGAGATTTTACATCCATCTGTTGAGAGGACTTTGTCTGCTACCCGTAATGAAACTCTTCTCAACAGCAATTAAATTGTTTGGCCTTGGAATAAACTGCATGTTCTTTGAGTTCTCGGGGAAGAAAATGTATCTGTGGCTGCAGCTGCGCAGACATGCCTTCTGATACCACATCACACTGAAGGGGCTGTTTACCTTCTTAGGGCACGGATAATAAAGGATAAAGATTTCTAAATCAACTTTTGAAAAGACTGCTTCAAAAACACCCCAGCCTCATTAATTCAGACCCAGCGAGCTTGAAAAGGCTAATTTTGCTGACCCATCTCAAAAAAAGCCCTGAGATTTAAGCAAAGGAAAGATCCCAGTGAAGTCAGCAGGCTTAAAACTAAGGACAGGCTGGTGGGATCTGCATGTACACAAGGCTAAAAGTAGGCAGACATGCTTTGTCAGGATGAAGCCCTGCTGTCAGACCCATTGAGGTGACCCGATTTCTTTGCAGGACTCTGCAGGGGAAATGTGCTCTCCTGCAGCTCATCCCCTCCCTGCCATTTCATTAATCCTAGCTCTCCCACATCGGACTTCATACAGAAAGGATTTTGAAGTACTGCTGAGGGTCTAGGAAGCCAAACCTCATTTTGCTGTGCAGTTCAAGAGGAGGTTGTTGACTCAAGCAAAAATCCCTGCTGTGTGATTTTCTGCACAGTTTGAGGACTGTGATGGAGACGGAGACTTGCCTTGTCCTGTTCTCCATCAGAGAGACATCTTACCCCTGCAGGGTGCAGGATAACTTCCCCACAGGGAGAGGCAGCTCAAGCAGGGGCAAAATCTTAGGGTTTTTTGTGCCCTCAGAATGGCATAGCAGAGGTAAAGCTTGAGACTTAAAATCCACCAGACAACAGACATGCAGCTGCTCACCTCTGGAGCATGGGCAGGAGCAGGGCAGCAGCTACAGCTGGTGCAAGGAAGTAAAGCCATTTGGTTCTTGCTTTTGCCTGGCAGCTGGCTGAAAACAGGACTAGACTGCAGGAATTCCTGTCCTATGCCCAGCCCTGACTTTGTTATGCAGATGTGTGCATGTTACCTGATTTCCATTCTCCACAACTTCCTCCTCGCTAATACGCAGTTAATATTTATAAATACTTAATGAATGCACAGTTTATGTGTATGCACTTCACTGTGGCTCTGCAGATTAGTTAACCAAGCTATGGCCAGATCCTCCCTTGCCTACAAATTTGTATGGCTGCAAAAAAGATTGCAGTTTACCTGGTGTAAATCACTCAGAAAACTGTGATTTAATTGAATTTTATAAACAAAGTCTTCAATACTAAAATATGTATATATTATTTTGAGTACTTTTCTTTAGAGAAGGAGAATTGGTAAAACAAAACACCATGTAAAATGCAGAATAAGGACATTCAGTGAGTAGTGAGCACTCTAGAAGAGGGTGAATGAAGGTACTTGTGTCCCTGAGCGTGCCTCTGCCCATCGCGTTGTTTGCATGACTGCCTTCATTCAATCAGCTAAACATCACCTAAGGATGTACTTAAGGTAAATTCAGTGCTGGATAACAACCCGTCCACAGCAAATCTGATTCTTAGCAGGAAACCACCGAGGCTGCCTGCTTTTTCCATGCCCCTTATTTCTGAAAGTAATGGGCTTGCAGAGCCCCCTCTAACCACCAGAGGTCAGAAGCAAAACATCGCAGCCCCGCCACGGAGCCCTGTTTTCCTCAATCGGTGCCCCGGAGAGGGAGAAGTGGAAAATCAGCAAAAACACTGCTTCATTCACAACGAGGAAAATGAAGACCATATTAGAAAGGATCCCGAGCAATTCAGAGGGAAAGAGGCAAGTTTAGCAATGAAACCATCAGTCTGCAAGCGTGGGAGATGGGAGACGGGCAGGGAGATGTGCTCTGCACCCTTTGCTGAATATAACAATGATTTGTTGACGTTTGTTGTCCTTTTGTGTTTGATTATTCATGAATGCTAATGTAGGAAACTTCCCGTGCTTTTCAAGAATGTGTGCAGAACCGAAAAGCCCCATCAAAACCTGTGTGCATATTCAAAAAAGGCACTTGCCTGAAATTGTGCTTTTACTATTTGCAAGCACATTTCTGGAACGCTAAAAAAGCATCTGAGCAATGAAGAG